CCCCAAAACCCCAAAACCCCAAAACCCCAAAACCCCAAAACCCCAATGATATCAAATAAAATTGAATAAATTTAATGTCCATCTACAGTGGCTTTGCAACAAGGTATTAAAACCTTCAGACATTTTGAATTGGGAGAGAGACTATGGCTTAAAAAATGCTAGAAAAAGACTTTTTGTTGACCATAATATAGACAGCAAGAAAGTACATACAATGAATGCCTATTCTACATGTGTATTCTTCTCACATCGAAAGTTTCAGCAAATTTGACAGGGAAGCAATATGATGATCTCCAGCTTGAGCTAAAATTCACTAAAATTTATAAATAGGATAGCAGCTATGGAGAAGAATAAATATTTAGCACCCAAGTTTTCAAAATGATTTACAAAGCTAGCCAATATTTTTGGTGTTTCTGCCAAATCTCATAAATAAATTTATGGTTCCAGATCCTAATTATGACAATTCTGATATGAAATCCATGTTTGATGATATGCATGGTAAGGATATGGTCTTATCAGCAGAACTAGAAGCCTCTTCCGTCGTTCAGAGTCATAATGGCAAGCTATTTTCTCATTAATAGGACACAAAAATCAAGAAATCAAGGTAGATGATGAGATCAGATCACATAAATGTTAGTCTTGGCATAACTTGTAGCGAACAAATTTGTTCCAAGACAGCCTGAATATAGCTCAAATAATCTAGCTGCTAATAAATAAAAGTGAGCCTAGACATAATAAAATTATGGGAACTCGATCTAAACCGCTAATGAGAGATAACCTCTCTCCTATCAGAAGTAAATGGATGTTCAAATTTCTAGAACCAACAAAGGAAGAAATCAAACATTCCAAGCTAGCTAAGTCAAGAGAACAAAATACCACAATTGATGATAAAATTAATCATGATAAGAGTAGGAAAAAGTGGGTGAGAGATAAAGGAGCCAGGACTACCAAGCATCGTAACTCTTTCTTACACTTTAGACACTAACAAAATCCCAGATATTGAGGTGAGTGTAGTTATGGCTCGAAGTAATAAGAAGGTATGGATAACCCCAATAATATTCCTAGAGTCCTAAATAAGCTCTATAAGAGTGAGAAATACGATAGTGATGGTTCTTCAATTACCCGAGTAATATCCAAGAAACGAAAAATATTGAATAATAGCCATACGTAAAGAACTCTATTAAAAATATTTAGGAAAGCTAAACGAGCCAGTAACGAACTTAGACACCATTTGAATAAAAACAGTACACTTTTCCTGATCTCTAGGCGTGGAATACGACAATTCAGCACATACTAAGAACACAGGGATCGAAAAATACTACAAAAATAAGCAAAAATACCAGTCTAAGAGAAGAATTGGAGGCAATAGATAATAATTTCAGCATTTTTCATACCTTAAGGGGTTTTGGGGTTTTGGGGTTTTGGGGTTTTGGGG